TTGTTCCTAACAATAAATACTTGCATTAAAAGTAGCGAACAGAATTGGAAACACCTATGAGTTTGGCACTAATATTTCATACTTCGATAGATAGTTTAACATAACATAACCCTAAAGGAAGTTCCTTTACAGAACGCAACATGTATTAAGTATGATTATGTAAACATAACAAACTATCAAAGAAAGACAAACTGGTCAATGACCTTGGTCAAATATTTTGGTAGGATATGACTTTAAAAACGTCAAGACACAGGAACATGAGACTTCAGAATCAAATTCTCCAAACCTAGTTCTCCTACAAACACATCCGAATGCGATTATCTACAGAATAAAACACTTTCTACACGTATTTATCTGGCACTATTGTAATTTAGAATGTTTCTCTAAATTCAATTATTGACCTGTATGTTTAAATCTAATAATTGTATTTCATATCTAATCCAAAACATTACTAAAAGTCTAAAATAATTTCAAATTTTTTTCGTCTTTAATAAAAAAATCACGTAATAACTGCTACCGCTAACTTAACTTTGCGAGAAAATAGATTATCTGTGATACATTATTTTTATCACTTCCCTATACTACCACCCGTGATCTGCCCTTTAAATGGAGAAGTCCCCAAATTCTTTGCCCAATTAGTGATCTGGTAAAACTTCTTTAAATCAAGCCCTGCTATTTGGACTCATTTACCTCAGTTTAGGGATATCATTTTGATTATGATTTCAAGAGAAAAAAAAATCAACCAACAAAAGTAGCAAATAAAATTCTGAAATCCTTGCTCAACAGTTATCTCTTATAAGAATGTGAAGTATTGGTTTAGTTTTAGCTAGAACATTAAATATCTGTAAACAAGCACCTGTTTCTAAAGGGTGCATAAAATCTAATGGTCTGTATCCTTCTAATGTATAAAAAAAAACAAAAAAGTACAAGAATTTTCTTTCTAGATTTTTTCTAGTTTTAAGTAGCTTAATGAACATTTTACAGTACTCCACTATAACATTTTTTAAATATTCAAAGTCAGGATATCTCAGTTTTCCTGCAGAAATTAAGGCACTTTAAACCAAAACCTAAACATACCCAGGTGCACGTCCACAAGGAAAAACTTAATATTTCATAAAGAAGTAATCAGTTTCTCTGTGAAACATCCGATTAGCACACTAGATAAAAAAATAATTTAAGTCCTATAGCAATACTGTATTATTATTTTGGGTATAATACGCATATCAGTTGCAAATGATTTGATTGTGAATAATACGAGTTACACTGTGTGTGTGTGTGTGTCGTACCTCCCGAACTTTTGATGTAAATTTATACCACTGAAAGCATTTAAACCAAAATGCATTTTCAATTATTCTAAATATTAATCCTAAATTTAAATATAGAAACATTTCTATAATAACTTTAAACTTTATTTACTTTGTATGCGAGCTAAAACTGGCAAAATCCTATTTTATATCAATGAACTTGATAAAATAATTTAGTCCAGAAGTATTTCTGTCACATCACAGACTTTGGCGGAAGGAATATTCCTGTTAGTCTAGATGGGCAAAACTAATACATATGGTAACAAGAAAATAGTCTCCATTTCAAGTAATACTTATAACAAGAACTGGTTATACAGCAAGTGTTATATTCTTGCTTAAATACCTTGATAGAAGGGGGCACCAAGTACAATACTTAATACTGGGTAGGGAATTAAGATACTATTTAGGAACATGTACTTAATATCTGACCAATTAACTATTAAGTATACTTAGAGAAATTTAAGTTTGAAAAAACAAAAACACTAAACCTCCAATACAAATTTTGGTCATTTTCTTTATTCGTTTCAATTAATAATGAGGCCTTTTATGTAAATTAATCTCGTTTCATAGTCAATACCAATAGCATTATACTAACTAAACTTATAAAGGTGTGATAATCTCAAATCAATTTCTTTAACTTCTGCTCCTTAATTTTGGTTGTTGTTATCACGAGGTTATTGGAAATTTTCTTTTCATTATTCATAAACTATCCTCAAGTTCTTTTTCCTTTTCAATGCATTTCCACTTAGTAATATTTGAAGCTTTATACAACATCGGACATTTATGTTAAGATTAACCCTTCCATGACTGAGATTGAGTCACTGCATTTTTTTTTCAAGGCTTATGGGCTGCACTAAACATTTTACATAAATATCTCACTGATTTCTTATTGATAATAGTACAAGTATAAAATTATTTCTCAAATTAACACATCTACTTTCTATAAAAGCCTTTCTGTAGAACATTGATAATTTATAAGGTATTTTCCCTGTTATCAAGTTCTGTATTTATAAATTCCCCAGTGTTATTTTCATTGAATAGTGTGTTCAAACACGATTATATTTTTTTTTTAGAAAATTTTCAAGACCAACATTAAATTTCTTTATTCAATGCCAAAAACCATACTTGAGGTATCCCCATTAACCTCTGTAGTCATGGAAGGGTTAAAATGGGAAAGAATTAAAGTTATTTGTTTGATAAATCGTAGTTGGTAACAGACGCTTCTCGAGTAATTACGTGAAATGAACAAATACGTTAAGACTAAATAATTTAAATTATATCTAATTTGCGGTTTTAAATAAAAGTCACCCCTGAGGTTGTTATGTAAAATACCTAAAATAAAGTATTTAATAGAAAAGGTAAGGTTATTTTTGGAATATCATATTAAACGGACTACTAAATGAACAAATACGTTAAGACTAAATAATTTAAATTATATGTAATTTGCGGTTTTAAATAAAAGTCACCCCTGAGGTTGTTATGTAAAATACCTAAAATAAAGTATTTAATAGAAAAGGTAAGGTTATTTTTGGAATATCGTATTAAACGGACTACACCATATAAAGTTTACAAGTTGAATATGCATATCTTTAATGTATTCATAAGGAAAAGTATTTGAAACTACTAGTAACGTTTCCAGAAATTAGATTATTGCATAGTCTAATAGAGGTAACAATATAAAGATTAATTACCAAAATCTGTCTTCTTGTTAGACATAATTGCCACAAACAAAAAATGCCTATTTGTAACCGTTATCTGTAAACCTACGAGACGCAACGACAATTTTACCACCCTGTCATATTTATTCTGTTAATTGATGTAAGTAAGCATAGCAGTTATGCATTTTAAAAAATAATAAAAGATTAAAGAATTAATAAAACATGCGAATCTCGAGGTGAAGAAATTGTAATTTTAAACAAAACACAATGATAGTGTTAACCTCTTGTTTGACAGTTTTTGAAAAACTGAAACCTGTCCCAATCAGTCAGATTTTATAAATATAACTCAAAGCAAGATCAAGAAAATTAAAAAGAAAAAGAAAAATTAAAACATATCCTTCCTACAGTTACACCCCTCCCCCCAAACTGCACAAAGAGAGTTTAGACCAATTGTAATTTCTAACAATAGCCCAAGATTTTCCACAATAAGAGTTTAGACCAATTGTAATTTCTAACAATAGCCCAAGATTTTCCACAAAGAGAGTTTAGACCAATTGTAATTTCTAACAATAGCCCAAGATTTTCCACAAAGAGAGTTTAGACCAATTGTAATTTCTAACAATAGCCCAAGATTTTCTCTAGTCAGATAATTAGTGAACACAATATCAACTAATGGGCTTAAATAAATAATGTAAAAAACCTCCAAACTTTCTACAAGAAAGTCGCGGACCCATCATGGGCGATCTGCTGTCCCCTCAGTGCGACATCTTCATGGACGATTTAGAAAATAAGTTCTTCAATGAACTGACTTATAAGCCTGTTTTCTATGTACGATGTGTTGACGACACGTTCACGTTATTTACCGATGATAATAATCACATTAAACTGTTTCAGAAAACATTTAACTTGAATCATTCAGACAAACAATTTACTTGTGAACTAGAATTTAATGACCAGAGACCTTTTATTGATGTTTTAGTTACATGATGCTCAGATGGCAGGCTACATTTATTGAAACCCTATGATAAATTTAGAGATCCTTATTCTCAGAAAATCAGCATATGTTGAACGTTTGTTCTGAAGAAAAGGGTATTCAAGATTAATTAAAGTACCTCAAAAACTTTGCTGTTTTGAGAGGATTTAAACCAAACTTAACGACGAACTTGTTTGACAAAGTCAACCAAATAATGGCTGATGGCTCTTATCTAATAATACCCTACTACCCCCCCGATATAAAAGAAAGTAAGGGAGGTTTTAAAACGGAATATACTTAAACCAGCTTTATTAGCCAGTTAACGAACTTTAAAAAAAAAAACTTAAAGTGGCAGATAAGACAGAAGCCCACTACAAACGAGGTATTTAATCCATTTCTCATTCTTATAACTGTACTTATACTGGTCAAACAAAACTATTGCTTTCAGTTAGAATAAAAAACAAACACGAAGGCTTTAGCATTACATGTTCACACAATCAACCACCAAATTAATTTGAATCAATCAAAAATTATTGCTTAACTAAAAATCTTCCACCAACACGACAGAATCGAAAGAAACGTGTAAAACTAAAGAAAAACAAAAAAAAAACTTAATAATAAAATGTGATTTGGACTTAACCCTATATGGAAATAATTTTTTCTAATTAGTTATTATTTTATAGAATTGACCTTTCTGGGTCAGTTTGAACCTGAATGTGCGAGACACTGTGGTCTTCGGTATCTATACGTGACCTGAAAACACTTCTAATCTATTATTTTTATGCTTTATTAATTCTTTAATATTTTGTGCATTATTACGCTAATGTAATATTATAGTTTTTTTATGAATATTCACAAAATACTTCTTTAAATATCCTACATTATAGCATTTAACTCAGTCTGAATTTTCGAAAACCTCACGAGTTTTCTATCTAAAGACTATAATCTAATGTAACTTACACTTTGAATAACTTCAGAAACGTATTTTTTTACTTTATGTATCCGTAAAAGATTCGGTATTCTTACATTAACTGAAATCATCTATATTTTTATATCACCATACAGAAAACTCTCTCCCGTGCTGGGCGTATTTCTTAAATGGGATGACACAATCGATGGAAGCAGGAGATGTTTGGGGCAACTAGGAAATACGACTCTTCTGTTCTACATATTAAGAAACCTACACTGAATCTATGGCAAACAACTAACTGCCAAGTTCTGTGTTTAATCACTCTGTGGTAGTGGAGCATTAGTAGGTGAGGGAGTGGCTTGACGAGAATCATCACTTTGTTTCTGACGCATTTGCTCCTGCATCTTTGTCAACATCTCCTGCATGCGCCGGAGTTCTGCTTCCTTCTCTCGGATGATACGTTCTCTTTCTGATATTCCACCGTCAGGGCTACAAACGACGGTTATAATGATCAGTTAAGTCTACTGTAGCAAGCTTACTGTTACTTAATATTTTGATGGCACTGTTATAAAAAGAAGGTAACAACGGTCACTAATAAGATACTGTTAGGACTACTGTATAGAATTTATTTTTACTAGATATTCCAATATCAATACTATAACCACAGATGCTATTAGGATTACAGGAATTATATATATTAATCTAACACACAAGTGGATATCAAATCTAAACAAATTATGATCAAAAACAACACAGATGTGAAACCATATTAGTTACAAAAAGAAAGTTTCAACTACTACACATTACAAATGACAAGTTACGTAATGCACATGCTTGAGATACACACATATTTGTTGCCTGAACTACAAAATACATTACTGTCAGCAATACAAGGGATAGAATAAACATTATCCACCCATTATGTTTACAAAGAAAAATAAATCTGATCAATAGATAATAAAACCAATGACAAGCCAGAATCTACATAAATCAATGTTGTATTTTCCTCATTTAAAAATTCTTCTACTATTTTAATGTACTAGATAAATAAAAGAACACAATGACTTACGCAGTGTTCTTCTGGGGTGCGGCCTTACCAGCCAATCTTTCGGACCTGTAGTTCTCATAGTGGAGTTCTTGGGTTACTTCTTGGAGGTCTTGCATGTGGGTTCTGCAAATAATATGATCATTTACAACCCTGTTTAATTTTAAACTGAAAACATCACAACGTTCTACAATCTTGTTACACAGAGACGAACGGCTACAATAGGATCTAAACCACCTTATTATAGCCAGTAGTTCCCTTGATAAAATTGCTACATTAATAGCATTTGTTCCAACTTTACAGTTTATGGTTTATTATTAAGTGCTCAGTAAGTAAAATGTTTGAATAGTAAAACACGCAACAGAAGATTTTAAGAACTATGTACATCACAACTGATCGATTGTTTTATTTTACCAAAGAAAGGAAAAATGGCGCTTTGGGTGTATTAGTTGATTACTATCATAAAAGTGATTGTTAATGTAACAATGTACTTTCTTCAGAAGCCTATTTATAAATTCATGTCAACTTAAAAAGATTTTTAGAACACAATTATAAAGTGTGGTTAGTTAGGAAGAATATGAGTATTGCTATCGAGACTTTGAAACACGATTCCACCAACAACGACCGTATCAAAAAAATATGCAATTCACAATGTGAAATAATGACCAAAAAGAATAAGGCTATTATACACTGGTTATTGTTGCTGTCAGGACATCTAACGTACATGTACTGGCTATTACTGTAGTCACTGGACATCTAACATGTTCAGTACCGATACATATCATTATGAACGATTCTCATCTTTCTTTACGAGCACAATATACATTTGCAATAAGAACAGTGCATGCTAATGCCGAAGAGGCCTTTTGTACAATACAGAAATTCCCCAGGTTGTATGGGTTAAATAGTATTTTATTTTTTTTATTAGTTACTTCTTGAGGTATTAAGAAGACTTTTAATGGACAACATATAATCTCAGACATTTTGCACATTAATATAAATATATTTCCAACTGTTCTTTTTTCCTACAGGAAATATTTAATTTTCAACACAACATATATAGTTTTTTTTAGCCTATATGCTACTTTAAAAACTGTTCTTGATGGGATTGTATTTATATCAGCACAAATATCAAAACCTCATTAAAAAGAATATTATAATTATGAAAACTCGTTATTAAAATAAAAAAAAAACAGCCTAATATTAGCGAAAAGTCGTGTATTTTTTCCTTACATCAACATTGTTCTAAGTTTGATAAAATCACAGTGGTCAGGATTCTCAACTTCCACTACTCCCCAAGGATAAAGCCGACCTCTGACCTTACGACCTTTCACATCAAGTGTCTGTGTGGTTGAGGATACTGCAAAAGGCACGGCTTCCTGTGGAAACAAATTACACCTGTTTTTAACCGTTCAGAGATCTGGAGCATAAAAATTGTTTAAAAAAAATTTCTAACTACATTTAAGTTGCAAAAATGGGAGGGGGGGGGGGTAAGAAAATAATTTTAGCAAAATTTTCATCTTAGAAATAAACAATTATTTCCAGCATATATTAAATTTTGTACGAGATCATTAAGTAGAATCAGCACAAACAGTAACTTGATATACAGAAATTATAAAATTTTAAGATGGAAATAAAGCAGATACACAATGTTTCCTCGAGTCATTCTTGTTTGTTAATTTATATAGTCAGTTAGATGAAAAATATCTTCATCCTCCATGTCTTCATTCTTTAATATACAGTGTTTATTTTGTATACCACTACCTGTATACACTAACTAACTTCAGCTCTAGATGCATTATAAGTGTGACAGTCAACTTTACTAAAATTTCAATAGTAGCCACAGAGGCACCAGGTGCTTCTAACTGGTTGTCTTTCCTCTGGTCAGAATTTCTAACTTTGAAAGAGCTATGCTTGGACTTTAGTGTTCTCTGACCTGGCCGCTTAGCAGTTTCCAGGAGAACACGAAAATTCACATAAACACCGGTTAACAGTGTTGAATCTCAACAAACCGTATATTAAAACGGCTCTAATCTTAGATAAGATAATCGAGTACCTATAAGCTAACCCTAACACTTATAAAAAAACTATATCAGGAAGAAATCAAGAGAACTTTCTGTATACATGGCTTAAAAAAATGGGTTAGATTTAGCCCGTAAGAATGTGATCATAGCACGATAGCAAAATGATCCTCTTGAATATGTATTTTAAACCTTAATAATTTTTATCCATAACATTGATGGTTATTTTCAAGACATCATAAAACTGATCGATGGAAGAATTCTGCATTATCTCCATAATCTGAACATCTATACAACTTTATTATTAGTCACAGATTAATGGTAGGTCACTGGCTATCTGACTTGAACCCACAATCTATACAACTTTGTTATTAGTAACAGAGTCAGATAGCCAGTGACCTATATAATTAGTTGGGAACTTAAAGGTTGTATTGATTGGTAAAGTTTCAATGTAAAAAAAATGAAGGACTGTGGAGAAAGGAGATGGCTTACAGAACTGACGTTGGCCCATGGACTCACCGTGGTCTCAATCCAGCTCTAACTTTGTGAACACTACTGTATTATTGATAACAGCTATGTATTGACGCTACAAGTCATTTATAAGTTAGTTCCAACAATCCTTTCAACTTGCCTTCAGTTGTCTCACTTGTTCTTTATAATCTTCATCTTCATCAGAGTCACAGTCAGGAAGAGGATAGATCTTGATACCATTTTCTTCAATTTCCTGCATAACCTGGTTCGTTTCATTGGAAACAACAACAAATTTTACGTTAACTGATTAACTTATGTTATGCTTATTTAACCAAAAAAACAAATCATTACTGTCATAACTATTCTTTTGGTTGAGCAGTCTTCATATATTTGTGTATGAAAGATTTCCAACATATTAATAGGTTTTATCATTACCAGTTTAATGCTTCATGAATCTTGGGGATCTGAACTGGATTACATTTGACAGATCTTGTGGCTTGTCATTAATAGATTAAACTTTGAGTTGAGAGAGCAGAGAGGTAATGTTAAACATCTAAAATATTTCACTTTCAAATGAATACTTGTCACAAGTACTTGAAATTTAAAGCATAGGACAAAATTTATAAAAAAAACCTTTAAACAAAAACATTTCTATTACATGTTTCAAACAAAAATTAAAACAGGTAGCACAAGTAAATTACTTTTCTTAGTTTAAACCATATAATCCATATAAAACCATATAATCAGTGAAGTTCATTACTTCCTTTGCGGTTAAAACATCAGCAGGAACACTGTGACCTACCCTTCTCTTGAGCTTCATCACTTCCTTCTTGGTTAAAACATCAGCAGGAACACTGTGACCTACCCTTCTCTTGAGCTTCATCACCTCCTTCTTGGTTAAAACATCAGCAGGAACACTGTGACCTACCCTTCTCTTGAGCTTCATCACTTCCTTCTTGGTTAAAACATCGGCCTTAGCTATGACAGGAACAAGACCTACGAACCCACAATCTATACAACTGTATTATTAGTGACAGATTAACAGTCAGATAGCCAGT